TACTTTGTAAATACTTGATATTTACTTTACTATAGAATCCATAGTGGTGCCTAATGTATCGACCATTATTGCTAACCATCGGTTTAGTCCTAGCGTTCAATCTATGTATTCGAATAATAAGCAACAAAATTATTATGAAACAGATGAACATGCAACTTAAAATGTTACTTTAGACTTTTTACATCTTGAACAAAATGGTAAAATTGCTGTGCTTAAAACAATTTTTTTACTCTTTTATTGCATTTATATTTTTAATCTTTATGAATACTTATTTACTTTATCTGTAGGATTCATTTTGATGCCTGATATATCAACAATTTTTCCTGACTACTGGTTTAATTCTAGTGTTTAATTAGAGACACCTATGTGTTTGAATAATGATCAACAAAGTGATAGCAAATCTGATCATGATAACAATAAAACAGATGAACTTGTAATTCAAAGTGGTGCTGAATTTTCGAACTGGAAATCTTTGGAGAATTCATTAAAAAAATATGAATTGAAAATTGGATTTAAGTCAATAAAATATCGAGTAGAGAGTGAAAATGGTAAAATAATCTGTTGATATTTTATTTTTGAACATTCAGAAGAACATCAATCTAAAAAAAAGGTTAATATCATATATCATAAAAAAAAATTGTCATAAAAAGTTGGATGTGAATGGCAACTTAATGTGGGATATCGCAAAAATATTAACGCTATAGTTGTTAATAAATTTGTTGAAAGCCATAATCATTCTTTCACACCATATAGAAAAGAATTTGCCCCAAGCTTATGTTTACTTTCGCAAGATGTTCTTGACGCAATAAAGTTTCTAACACAGGAATGTAATCTTGGAGCAAAGGCTCAACGCCAGTATATTTTAAAGAAATTTCTTGATCAACCATTATTTGACTGTAATTTGTATAATGCTATACGTTGATACACGAAGCAAATAGATAATTAACGAGAAAATGATACTGCAGATATAGTAAAGTGGCTTATGAAGCAACAGGAACAAGAGACTGGATGGGCTATTTATATTGAGCTTGAAGATATTGATAACAATCTTTTGCAGCTTTTTTGGATAACACCTGCACAAATAGAATTATGGAAGTGTTATCATGATGTAGTAGTTAATGATAATACAGCTAAAATGAATGTATATAACATGCTTCTAAATCTTTTTGTAATCATCGATAATTATAACCAAACAAGGCTTATGGCGCAGTCTCTCGTATAAGACGAAACTGTTAACTCTTATACATAGATTTTAAATTGTATTTTAAAAGCAACAGATAATCTATCTCCTAAAGCAATTTTTACAGATGCTGATCCAGCTATGGCCTCTGCTATCAGTCAAGTTTTTCCTGCCTCTAAGCATAACTATTGTATCTTTTATATACAAACCAATATTGCAAAAAAATTATCACGAAAATTAGATAACTCATATACTAGTTTTTTGCAAAGTTGGTTTAGATGTCATAATAGTTATAGTGAAATAGAACTGGAGTACAACTGGCAATCGTTATTGGTTCAATATCCAGCAAGTCAAAATTACTTACAACAGCTTTGGAAATCATGCTAAAATTTATGTATTCACAATATTTTGTACTGGAATGCAAAGTACCCAATGAGTAGAAAGTATGAATAGGATCATCAAGAATGAGGTTTGTGCAAAAACAACACTTGTTAATTTGGGCAAAGCTATTCAAGCAAAACTTGATCACGAGGCACAGCATCAGAGATTTTCTGAATACAAAAATATGTTACCATATCGGGGACTTTTAAATATTTAGAGTATCTTTTTTAAGACTATTCAGGATAAGATTGTAAAGTACTTAACAATAGAAGCTACATCTATTTAAAGTATTCAAATAGCTCAAAGTGTTTTATATAGAGCATATTTAGTTAAAAGATCAAGTTTAATTTCGGTATAATTTGCACTAATTATGATTGTCTTGTTAACTGAATATGAGTATATACTAATATTTATTTAGTCTCTTAAAACTTCTGAGTATTCAGATAGATATCTAGAAGACGAATATGATGTATTACAGGCCTCTCGAGACTATTATAAATATGGTAGATTAAAAAAATATTCTTGAGATCTGGAGAGTGTCTTTATTTGATCAACATATCAATCAATATCCTTACTATATCATTCTATTAGCTAATGATACTTACCTCTGCACATGTCTTTATATTATTTCAAATAGGTTCTTTTGTGGACACTTTTTTAGTGTTTTTAAAATGTTCTGCAATGCCAAGTTTGATGTTAAACTTATATCCAAACGTTGGTATACAAAGCAAGTATTAGATTCTTATCAATTATGAGCATGACCGTAGAGCATGATTCAGTTATAGATATGAACCAGGTGATTTCTATTCGTGGGCCAGACATATATCAACCTAGTATCCATGCAAGCATTATAGAAAAGCAAGAATATGCATGTAGTTTCGGTATTGCGAAAAGTAGGCTAAATTTGCAATTGAAAATAGTTTAATTGACGAATTTGTAGAATTGATATCAGAATTTATTGAAAATCACTCTGGTGTGAATATTAATTAGCGAATACAAGTTGATATTTCTCAAATAGAAAATCCAAAAAAAGCAAAACACAAGGGACGTCCAAAGGGATCAAGTTTTACACAACAAGTTCTCCAAGATTTAGACGTAGGGACTTCAAGATCTACTAAACAGGCCAATATCGAAACAAATGATAGCAATATTAAATTAAAACCGGGGATTTGGTATTGTGGTAATTGCCATGAACCAGGACATTATACTTCTATTTGCAAATTTTCAGAAAATTAAGCATTAAATAATGTATATATGATATTACTGTATTAGAACTTCTTGTTATGTAATACAAGTTCATATATGCATATTAGAGTATGAATAGTTGCTATCTACTTAATTGAATTTATTTCAAATTCTATTAGCTTTTGCTTAAATATGTTGTAGTTAAAATAACAATTGTTTTATCAATGTGAACTGATAAGAAAATTAGACTAAAAGATTATTTTGAGCATTTATTTTTACTTGATATTTAAGCATATATATATTCACTATATGAAAATCAAATATCCTAGAAAAAAATTCCTTGAACTATTGGTATGAACATGTTTATATTTTTGGTTGTTTTAAAGGAGTTGGCTAATTTGATGTTATTTAGAAAGATTTCGATACTGATGATTTTGAGCATTATTCAATCTTTAAAAATCTCTAAATCTGTATTCGCTTATATAGTGTAGTTGTATCAATAAAATGAAAAGAAACAATGTAATGATCTCAGTTATAGGTAACATTTTATATTAATTGTCTATTCTAATTCTAATTAAATATTTAAGAAGCAAGGGTGTAGTGACTTAGTAAAGTGGTTAAGTTGTCGCACCCCTAAGCGATATGTTAAATAGGTAGGAGGTTCAAAACCTACTGGCAATGAATTTCGAATGTTCTATTTGTATGATGGCTACTGTTTTTCGATGATCAGTTGAAACGAGATTTCTGTAACCTTGGTGGCACCAACAAGATTAGGAGATTATGAGGTACTCATGTGATGTATGAGTTATACAAAAAAAGTTTCAGATTATTGTAAACCCAAGGAACCAGAAAGATGGATGTTCACTTGGCAAGACCCGAGTAGAGAGGTAGTACAGATCTTTGATGATATTACGTAAAAGATTATAACCAGATAATCAGCAGAAACTGAACGAGACTGGTGTATAGCAAGGCACTTCACCAACCAGGCCGCTAGAACCAAGTCTGTCAAAACCGAAGGAAAAGGATCTGTTTAGTTGCAAATACCAGAGAGTAAACCCCTTCTGGGCCATCTGGATTGGTAGTTTGGGATAGTTGAAGACACAGTTAAGAGTCTGTAAAGTGGGTACTGGGGTTTGGGTGAACTTTACAAGGGTAGTAGGTAACTGGTAGCGGCTCTGTGCTCACAAGTACTTGTCCTTGGACTTAGCATAAAGTTACTGAATCTAGGTGAATCCAGATTGTGGGTCCGGACTGCTCTAGTATCGATCTCTCGAGGATAAATTAGTCCTAAAGATAATGGAAATAAAGCATCCAGAACTTCTTGACTGATGAATATAACGGAGACGTCTTGGTGATACAGGTTTAGCTATATTACAGAGGGTTAAATAGGTAACACCCGTAGTTGAGTTACAGGTATGGCATCTAGTATAGAACCTGTATAATGTACAGGTAGACTACTTAAAATAGACATCAAAAGTGTACATGTGGCTAGTATATACTCTCTAATGTAAGGGTTCCTTAAAAGAACCTTTCGCTAAATATACTTGAATAAAAATCCTAGCTCCCAAGAGGGTAGATGTTAAA